TCTCCCTGACATGGCTGCTTCAACACTAACTGCGGTTACTGAAACCACGCCTTCTTTCTTTGCGTGCACATTTGGGCGCATTATGCAAATATTTCCACATAGTGAGGTAGATATGTGGGGCGTGTTTAAACGAGGCGTTTTAGGAAGCCGTGGACGAGTCTTAACTTTTATAAAGAATATCTCTTTGGGTTTGAGACTTTAGTCTTTGCAACTGTAGGGATCTTATCTATTCACGAACAGCTTGTAACACTCCAAAGAGAAAGGAAAACTTGAAATCGCATCATATGACCCCTTTAACAACCCTTCACATGACGAATGATGAGAAAAACACATCAAGTTTGATCTGACTGTTCAGAATGGCATGCATTAACAAAAATCTAATTTTAATCTAATTTCAAACCACCTCCTGAGGGCTTGTACAACAGGATTTCATGTTTTCATGTAACCCCACTCCACTATTGATATACTACTATAGGAGATTCTTTGGATGCAGTAGGATGTGAAATGTTGTGAATTGTTCTAAGGTTACCTGACTTAATGCAGTGATTTTCAGAGCCTCTCGCGGCCCCCAGGCCAGTCGCCTGCAGATCCTCCTCTTAAAGCTCTGCTCCAGCGGTGTCGCTCTCTGCCGCTGCCGACTACGCTGTCTGCACTGGAGCCCATTGCCCTGACACACGTGCTCACCCCTCCAGGTACAGCGCAAGCCAAAACCATATCTGAATGATAATTCATATGCTGACATCCAGTGCAGCACATGCTGTAGCTGATCACCATTCAACAGCATGTTAAAGCTTAGAGCTAGCTTTATACTCTCAGGTTTCTCTGATATTCCTGGTTACAGTGTCATGTTGTGGCATGAATTGTTATATAATTTCACATGAAGCACTTCGGCTCATTCTAGCGATCTGTCCTGCAGCTAAGACCATGGCTAAATCAGTCGTTCTCCGCATGAGGAACAGCAGCACAGGATCCAACAGACGCAAGCTGTTTAGACCAGGATCAGGACCACTGCATGTCAACATGGTGAGTCCCGAAACTTCATCTGACAGACTGTTTCTCACATTTTTTGGGAATAATTAATAATGTTACTGTGTGATATTAAGCAAGCAATGCAGGACTGTCTAGGAGTGGTACTGCATTAACAATTGAGTTACTACTTAAATTAAAATGAAATCATCATCATTTACTGAAAAACATGCCATTCCAAACCCATGAGATTTTTATTCATCTTTGAAACACAAATTAATATAATGAAACCTGAGAGATTTTTGTCCCCCTCTGAAAGTAAACAACCAAAACTTTGATGCTTCAAAAATGTCATTAAGATTTTATATGTAAAAATAATCCATATGAATTTGATCAAAATCTTCTGAAAAGACATTTATATGATGAGCAGGTTTGATTTAAGCTTTTATTCACCTGTAAACACATACAATCTGTTCTATAATTCTTTTGAAACCCATGTTAAGCCTCACTTAGTTTCTCAAGTGTTATCTAGTTAATCTAGTGATCTGACACTATTTTAAAAGTTAAAACTTTTGAACATGTTTTTCACTTCAACATAATGCTTTAGATCACTAGTAGTTCTTGAAAGGTAACACTTGAGAAATTAATGATGCATTTTATGCAAAGCTTCTTAAAAATATTTGCTTACATCTTAGATGCACTTTAACATTGTGATAAGTAATTAATTGTTAATACTATTTATAATTGGTCATAGTTAGTTATTAGTTCTTAATGAGTCTCATTCAGTAATTATTGGCTGTAAGCAACGATTTGAGTTCTAAACTCAATGTTCCTGAATGATTAGTTAAACTTGTCAGCAAATGCCTTCTGAATGATGTTTTTTTTTTCTTCTTTTGACAGCTCTTTTGTTAAAACTACAGATCGTACTTTCACATTTTTGTATCCTGCTCACAGATCGAACCCAGTGCATTCTGAGTGTTGAACCACATTCCTCTTTCACTGTTTTCTCTAGTCATGTAGCACCAATTAAAAAAGAAATAAATACAAATCTACTGCCAAATTTGATTACAAAGCCATCTTGTCTTCCACTGTGCTGCTATGAAATCAGCTGTGTACGTAACCTTGAGAATGCAAGAGTGGGCAGAGATATGATAGTGTAGGTAATCTGTAGATAACGCATTATGGAGAATCACAACATATAGAAAGATAAAAGTTCCCAGACTAGCCAAAAGGGCATTTACTGGCATAATATTTAAAGAAACCGGTAAGCTTTAATGAGTTAGCTAGCGTAATGTAGCTGCTTGTGATATTGTGCATTGTGTATTAATAAAATAAAATTCAAAAAGAGCACTTTTCATCTCTTGCACACTGAGTGCGGTGGAGTAGTGTCTGGTGCTGGCATCCGTCTCATTCCTAGCGGTAGATGCGTTTAACTTCTGAATGAAGGGCTGATGAGTGTTGGTTTAGCGGTGAGCTCAGACGCTGTCAGTTTAAGCTCATGTTTGCAGAGGATCGCTGTAAACCGGGAGTGAAATCTCACCCTCACAGTTAATTTGGCATCACTATTAAAATTGTTTCCTCTCTTGCATTATGTAATGGGTATATTTAATAAATGAGTCATCGAGTCATGCAAAGCATGCTGCACTCTCAGAAAAAAAGGTACAAAAGCTGTCACTGGGGCGGTACCTTTTCAAAAGGTACACTTTTGTACCTTTTAGGTACTAATATGTACACTTTAGGTACTTATATGTACCTTTAAGGTACCAATATGGACTGTTTAGGTACAAAGGTGTGCCTTTTGAAAAGGTACCGCCCCAGTGACAGCTTTTGTACCTTTTTTTCTGAGAGTGTGGGAATCTGAGGATACCTTTGGTGTTGAGTGGTTCTTCATCAATCTGTTGGTACCACATTCATAAAATGTCATATATTTATCACTATTTAATCACATTAATGCACATGCATTTAGAGTTGCGTACCTGTTGTGTTAATCTGTTGTTGTTTAATTGTTTCACTTCATTTTGTGTTTAGAAACTCACAGACTCAGTAAGACCAGACTTACAATTAAGAAGATTGTGTCAAGTCACGACAATGATGTGATTATAATGTTTGAGATCGACAAACAGTTAATGGTGATTTAATTGCAGCGGCAGGTGCATAATGTATCACCATTGGCTTTCATAATGATGAAAATATGCATAATTCATGATCAATTGCAATAGGGCACATTATGTTTGCGAGACCGCTCACTAGCAGACGTTCTAAGGCAAGAGTTCATTGCTCTGTTTGTGGACGTGGAACTATTCCTTGACCCAGTGTTGTTGAGGAATATATTATTCATGCTGATGATGGGTTGTTATTGAGGAGAATCAGACTCATCAGACGTTCAACAGTGCGGGACATGACAGGTCATTCGTTTGTCGTCCACCAGTGCTGCACCTGTGTGAGGGATTTTCTGGTTAATTAACAGAGTGTCGTATAGGAACAGAAACATTTTCTCATTCTCATTTGGATGCAGGATAGAGCTGATGATCACTGAGCTCAATATGGCATTCAACATTTCATCTAAACTGGTCAACTTTCTCCAAAGAAATTTTAAGAGAAACATTTGAGACAAAGATACTTAATGTGACACGCCTGAACACTCCAAGATGTGAGAGGAGTAAGACCAGACTTACAATTAAGAAGATTGTGTCAAGTCACGACAATGATGTGATTATAATGTTTGAGATCGACAAACAGTTAATGGTGATTTAATTGCAGCGGCAGGTGCATAATGTATCACCATTGGCTTTCATAATGATGAAAATATGCATAATTCATGATCAATTGCAATAGGGCACATTATGTTTGCGAGACCGCTCACTAGCAGACGTTCTAAGGCAAGAGTTCATTGCTCTGTTTGTGGACGTGGAACTATTCCTTGACCCAGTGTTGTTGAGGAATATATTATTCATGCTGATGATGGGTTGTTATTGAGGAGAATCAGACTCATCAGACGTTCAACAGTGCGGGACATGACAGGTCATTCGTTTGTCGTCCACCAGTGCTGCACCTGTGTGAGGGATTTTCTGGTTAATTAACAGAGTGTCGTATAGGAACAGAAACATTTTCTCATTCTCATTTGGATGCAGGATAGAGCTGATGATCACTGAGCTCAATATGGCATTCAACATCTCATCTAAACTGGTCAACTTTCTCCAAAGAAATTTTAAGAGAAACATTTGAGACAAAGATACTTAATGTGACACGCCTGAACACTCCAAGATGTGAGAGGATATTCAGCTTCTTTTATCATGGCCTCTGTTGCAATGGTGCAATGGTCTCATTTGATAGAGTGGACTTAAAGGTGAAGTGAGAAGAAGTGAGCAGCTGGGTGCTGTTACGCCCGAGCTCTCAGACAGGAAGAATCATTGTTTTCTTATGTTCGTCAACATTTTGTCCCGTCTGCTGTTGTTTCCTCAAAATGTATGCCTACATGACTAAAGGCCCGTTCACACCAAGAGCGTTAACTATAAATAGAACTATATTAGTGTCCACAACGATGTATGATATGGTTCTGTTGCTGCAGTTTTGTCGTCTGCCGCTTTAAATGCTTGAGCTCTTTAAAGTCAGGTGGGTTTGTCATTATCGTTTTATTTGTGGTGTGGACTTCTCTATTCTCATAGAATTTGAACAGTGATTAAAAACAGTCAGATAGGAGCCTCAGTATCAATCGTCCCATCACTACGTAAAAATGTTGTATCGTATCGGCGTTTGGATATGGTTTAGTGTGTTCGCAGATATTTCTTGAGACAACGCCATGTTTACAGAATCTTTTTTTAGGAAACAAAAATATTGGATAGGGAAAGCTCTGGCTTCGTGTGGATGTGGCCTCAGTTTGCGCATTTCCCCTGTTGTGTTGATTGTCATAGTTGTTGATTTGATTTCGTCATTCAGTTCAGGTGATCCATGTTTGCTCATGTATATAAGTTGCTCTTTGTCTGTTCATGGTTGTCGGGTCTCATCTAAGTTGGATGTGTTGTTGCTGTTCTCTGAATGTGGATTATTTGCCTGTGGAATTATTAAAGCCTACCTTCTGCCTTCATCTTCGTGCATGTGTGTTATCGGCAGCACAAACCCACTTAATGAGGGTTAACGCAGACTTAATGAATGAATGAATGAAAGAATGAATTAATGCTGAGATTTTCAGTTTGATCGCACACTGGTTTAAAGGGGTCATATGATGCGATTTCAATGTTTCCTTTCTCTTTGGAGTGTTACAAGCTCTTGGTGCATAAAGAAGATCTGTAAAGTTGCAAAGACTAAAGTCTCAAATCCAAAGAGATATTCTTTATAAAAGTTAAGAGTCAGCCATGCCTACCTAAAACGGCTCGTTCTATCTCACGCTTGAGGTATTCGGCTAATCACAACGCACTGGATAGCTGGCTAATCAGAGCACACCTCGCTTTTCAGACCGATTAGTTTTGTAAAAATCGACGCGTTTCAGAAAGGCGATAGATAGAGGAGAAACAATAATGTACAGTATGTGGAAAATAATGTGTTTTTTTAACTTTAAACCGCATAAACACATTTCATTACACCAAATACACAAAATAATGTTCTTTTTAGCAGCATCATATGACCCCTTTAAATTCAATCTGTCTATAAACTGGCAGCCTTATAGAGACACTGTTGCATGGGTCTGTGTAGAATAATGTGTGCAGCTCTGAAATCATATATAATTCTGACAAACTTTGCATTCATGAAACTATTTGGATCAGTTTGAATTTCAGATGTGACCTTTGTTGTGTAAATGTCAGGATGGGTGGAATCGAGCCGTATGGTGTCTGCGTTATGTAACCGTCTGCTCTGCATCTCAAGAGAAAAGCTCTCTCAATACATCAAGACACAAATAATTGTTTGCCTTCTGCCATATTGTGTGAATACACACATTCAGTTGGCTGACAGGTATAGTTTTGTTTATAGAAGTAAGATCATGTATAAACAGCAGCTGATGCAGGTTTTTTGGACTGTTTCTTGTCTGTGAACATCAGTTTATAAAACCCCCAGTATTCAGG